ATACATCATGTAGATGCTTATGTGTAAGTAAATTATAAAAGACAAAAATGCTAGGACTTTTTTATTTTACATATTTATTTGTAAAAATATTTTTTCTATTAATTGGAAATGAAATAAAAAAAAGTTCTAGCTTTATTACTAATAATATGATTTTTTATTAGAATTGATAGGATATTGGATGTTTAAGAAATAAAGACCGCATTCTCGTGAATGTTGCAGGATAACCTGCAATGTTAATGTAGACATAGATTTAAATTACACAAGGACTCCCATGCCAATTTCAATAGTCCTCGCCCACTGAAGTCAAACACAAAGGTAGTCGCACGAGATTTACATGCATATTTAGCCTCCTTAGCGTCAGACACAGAGACAGGTGCGCACGAGATTTTCATGCATATAAGGCCTTCTTAGCTCCTGACCTATCGACCTGCCTAATTTACATTCCGATAGAATTATCAAGAAATCAATTCCGCTAACTTTCAAAGAGTTACCACAGAGAAAAAAAAAACAGACATGGAAATATTATGGCATGACATCATGAAAAATTCTCAAGGGCATAAAACTACTATAATACAGATACCGGTAAATGTATGCAGAACATGCACAAAGTTTCATTTATGGTATATTGATAGATAAAACTAATTTATACTTTTATACTTCGACCTCAGTAGGGGTAAATTTTAGTGTCAGTCATTTTGGCTGGATCGAGAAATTTGAGTGATCGATATTCAATTCATTTTCTAATTTTAGTGAAAAATTTAATCCATGCTTTGTTATTATACATGTAATTGGTATTGTATGATTTATTCTATTTTTTTTCTTTAACAGAAAATGAAGGTATAGTAGCTGACATATAGTGTACATGTTCCACTTGAAGATTTGTCCCCCTTGTAGATACAAGAAATGCAAAGGTAATTCTTTGTGAAAATAGAGAGAATGAATAATAAAATTTTTCAAACCATACAACAAAAACTACTTTGAATAATTAGTACGCAACCAACCATTTACAATTTAATTTTGCAGTTTTATTTCTTTAACATTGAAAAAAAATCAAATTTGATATTTTTTTTAGCTCTACTGGTCAGAGACCAGAAGAGCTTATGGGATAGGAAGGTGTCCCTTGTCCATCCGTCTAGCTGTCCGTCTGTCTGTCTGTCCATGGCGTCTAGTTGTCTGTCTGTCTAGCTGTCCATCTGTCTGTAATTTTTCAAAACACTACTCCTCCTACAGTTTTATTCTGATTTCAATATAACTTAGACTGCACTAAGGTACATTTCAATGAACGGTGCTGCCATGGTTACTAAAAATAGAAATTTCTGTAAAATTCCTTTAAAACGCTACTCCACCTACAATTTTGGTATGATTTCAATATAATGTGGCACACAAGTAGACTACACTTAGATACATAATTCTATTTATTGCTGTCTGTTGCAAAGTTTCAAATCCAAGTGTTACTTTTTCTTTGTTATACATATAGACCAGTAGAGCTACAGTCTCATCAGAGACTTCTGGTTTATCCTTTTCATCACACAGCGACTTTTTTTTTTTTCAGTGTACACAGATACATACACATAAAAGGAGACATCACCTCATGATCTGTGGATCCATTGAAAACTTTAAGGACAAAACTTTTGATAATTCATTCATGTATAGAGTGTTGACTCGAATATTGAATATCTAATGAATGGAACCAAGAGAATTAATTGAAGAAGTATTATATTGTATATTACTCTTTTTATTCATCTGTCAAATTTCTTAATTAAAAATTAAACTTAAAGGCTTAAATAAGGATTTTTTTTTCATTATTTTAATTAGAACAAGTTCTTTAATTTATTTTTCTCTTATATAAACGGGCATTTAAGGTCATACGCAACGTAGTTTGCACTTTATTGGGTTCTTCCCTGGAGTTGAAGAGTTCCACTAAATGAAGGACCTGTGTGCAATATTTTTATTGTCTATATATGGATTTGTAAATCCCTTCTAAAATAATTTTGATAAAAAAAATCTGGAATTTATGTTTTGTAATTTTTGTACATTTTTCTTTGAATAATGCAAAATTTTTCAAACTTTAATATCTTTTCAAAATCCCTGGAAATGCATGCTGATTTTTTGTTTAAAAATATGTTATATGGTACATGTATTATAAGTTTAAATTTAGAATATCTTGAAAAATTATCAGTAGGCAAGGTATTTTGCGTATGTCCTTAAATGTAAAATGAAGGTATGTGTACCTTTATTCAATGAACTAGGGAACTCATGAAGTGTGCATATTTATATAATAGTGTTGTATTTTGCATGCACTATTCTTAAAAAGTAGTCAGGGTTTGACAAATGGTGCACAAGCCGGAGGCTTTAGGTATAATGTACAGATAGTTTTAGAGAATAGTAGTTGAGTGATGGGGGCAATTGCAAGAAACTATTTTAGAAGAATTATTTTGTTTATTTTTCATCTTAAGTGTTAGCTGCAGAACTGTAGCTCTCTGAAAAAATATATATTGACAGACGGGAGAGCTACAGTGCCACCCATAGAAAAAACTGTATATTTATTGTGCACTTTTTGTGCGCTGTTTCTCGATTTATTTTTCAGTGTTTTTAAAACTGTCATCTCAAAATATTACTAAACGTGTGTTTCTAACATATTCTTTCACTGTTTCCACAATAAAACATTCCTTATAATCGTTTTTAACAGCCCTCCTGGCCCTGAAATTGAAATCATTGAAAATTTTGCCTATTTATACTGCCATTTTGGTCTTCACGAGAATTCGGTCCAACGCACTTAGTACAAGTGTAAACTACGAAAGTTATAGAGGAGTAAGGACTTTTTTGAAATGTAGCTTTTTTTTCAATTGAGGTAAGAATTTCGAAGAATTAATTCAGAACCGAGCGCACTTTTTTGTGCGCAATAAATATACAGTTTTTTCAATGGGTGGCACTGTAGCTCTCCGGTCTGTCAACATATATTTTTTCTGAGAGCTACAGTTCTGCAGCTACTTAAGTGTAAAATATTTGAAACTAAGTTTATATATATTATAGGACATTGATATTTATAACGGCGTCTGTGTTGTAATCGGTAGCGCGTCGGACTGACAATCTCGGGGTTGTGAGTTCGCTCCCAGGCGTGGGCGCAGTCAGTTTTTCTTCAGAAAATGAAGTCGAGCACTATTTCGGCATAGTATGCTTATGCTATTTAAATCCTTAGAACACTATGCAAGAATAGTAGGGTATGGGTTATGTAGAGACAAACTGACAGGAAGCATAATAATTGACAATATGCATTTATGACAAGAAAATTGAAAATCTTCCTGAAAGAAGTTGAATAAATTTAAGCCACTTAAGTACCAATCTAGTTAAAATTAGATGTTAGATCCGCTCACATAGTCACTACAGTCAGTTTAGCGAGTATGCGTGCGGATCTAACATCTTATTTAAATTACACGTAGATTGCTGAGGTAAAAGTTTAATACATGTACCCAATATCATTCTGCTATATTTGCATCCGCGTGGGTATTAACAGTGAGCATTAACTAACTGTGGCCTGGACCTCTTATTTTATGTGTTATGGGGTGTCTAAAACAAGGTCCATGCTGACGTTTAACAAAGAAGAAACTTGCAATGGCCTAAGGTGACTTGGCTATTATCAGTTGAATACATGTCAATGGTGCATGGTTATTATATGTACCAAAAAATAACAAGTAAAAGATCAGCAGAGTGCTTTTATTAAAGAAGTAACAGAACTAAGGAAAACTTGTTTTCTACTGGATGATATGAAACAATGAGTAGAGTACCACCGCAAATATTTCTGGATCCATGCCCTTTCATCATGTTTATTTTTGAACGGGTTCAATGAACCGTCAAAAATTCTTGATATGTTTCTAAGGTGTAGGTAGAAAGTTTTGAAATTAGTGAAAAGGTTGTTAAATATTTTTAATGCAAACTACCAGTAAATGTGCATAATGAAGATGGTTGAATTTTTTTCAACATTATTTTCTGTTCATTTGTCAGATCGGGTTCGTTATGTGTAAAATAATTTCCAGCTGTCATTGGAACAAAACAAGGCATGATCAGGATCATACAAAGAAAATTAAAAGTAAAAATTAGGTAAATTATTACAGTTTGTGCATCTAAATAAGTTTTAAAACTCTCTTAAGAATCTCAGAGTGACTGATACGACCCAATTTCATGTGATTTTTTAATTGGAAACCTATCAGTTTAGTGCAGCAAACAGGCAAAGATCTAACAACGTGCATGGATCTGATCATGTTGTAAAGCTTGACAAATGGCACTTATGCAATAAATTAACCTAAATGATTAGGAGGAAAATAAACAAAAAAAGATTTGTTCTTTCTTAATTGCATTTTTGATTTTTCCCATTCAAAATTTACATACAAGGAATAAAAGAAGGTAATCTACATACAAGGGAAATTGCCTTTTTACTTAAAAAAAAAACAAAAACAAAAAAAAAACTGAAAGTTATAGAGATAAAACCACTTTTGATTTTTTGATCTTTAATCATTGAAAAAATTAAACATTACCCCAAAATTGGTTAATTTTAAGAAATTTAAAAAAAAATGGTTTAGGAAACACATAACTTAAATGAAAATAAATAATTAATAGAAGTTAAACTGTTCAATAGTTTCTTTATTTGGTTTAAAACTGTTGTTTCTTTATCCCATGGGAGAATTTTTTTCTATTTTGTAATGAATATGGGATAAATCCCACATTTATAAAGAGATGGGAGATTATCTTCTATATACAAGTATATGGGAGATTTTGTCCCATTATAAAGCATTCATGGGATTTTCAAACTTCTATGGGAGAAAAAATCCCACAGAATACCTTTTTCTCCCACAGAATAATGGTGGGATATTGGTTAGGAGAAAAAATCCCACCATTATCCCATGGGATTTCTTGGTTTCAGGTGTAATATCTTTTTACCTAGAAGATAATCAGGTGTAAATTTTGGTTCATGTGTTAAGTTTTAAAAAATCCCATCAGATGACATAAATGGTTTCCACATATCTTTGGAAAAGTGGTTGGCGAAAGTCCGGACAAATGTCGTGTCCGGAGTTAAATGTCGCACTGTTAGTTATGTTTATAAATCCTCTGCAACCATCATACTTTGCAGAAATGTAACTATCATATGGATGGAAATCTAAAGAAATATTCTTTAAAGGATTTCTATACCCAAGTAAATGAGCAGTGATGGGAATGGGTCCAACTTGAACAGGCCCACCAGATACAACATACGTAACATTATTCGGAGAAATTCCTTCTGACCATATCCACGCTTTTGGAAATGATTTTCCCCAGTTCTTCTCCATATGAGCAGTCCCATGTCTCCCCTCGAATACAATTTCTCTGCCTTTTTTGAACTTGTACGACACAATAGATGAACGAAGGCTGTATACAAACCAATGCAACGGAAGTGGAAATTTATCCACCCATCCCTCAGGTCCTTCGCCATCTGGACCCCATGGAATAGGGGAAGATAACTCGCCATCAAGAGAGACATTTCCAAATTTTACACGAAATGAAGAGGACGAGACGTTACTCCGGAAGAAAACGAAGGAAACGCTGTTTTTTGCAAGCCAAGTAAAGTTGGCTGGTGAAGAAATGTCCGGATTTTTATCAACTGGTTTACCTTTCACTCTCACTTTAACGTCAGATGAATTAAAAGTAGCATCATGGGAGAAGAGTTTACATCCGGTTACTGAACACGATCTCACTAAAATGCTGCAGAGAACAGGCGGGTAGTTATTCACACTCTTTGACACGTCAGGTAATACTTGCCCAAACAATAATCCTATACTATTGCCATTGTCAGAATCTATTAACCGTATATACCATCCCTCGAAAAAGGGTCCACGTTGAGGAAAAACATGAGGATCAAATCTGTTTCCCGATATTAATGTTACTCTGAGTAAAATACATAGCCACAAGAAATACATAGCTTTTGTATTTTAGGGTCAAATATCCTGCAAAGAGATAGAAAAAAAAATGGTTATTATATCAAGAAAACCCCAGAACAATTTTTTTAAAAAATCAAAAACAAAACCAGATGTCTTTGAGGATACAGTATGTCAACTGCTTTAAACTTAGTCTGAAAAAAAGGAGCTTTAAATACTCTCCGTTGGAACTTTCTCCTGTTATGAGATGTCATATGTTATGAGATTTTTGAATCAGACAGGATCAGCAAGTTGTTAATGTCATTACAGTGTACTTAGTAATGCTTCTCAAATTATGTAATTACAGAATCTATAGGAGTTTCATTTTGAAATGTTTTCGATTAATATGGTATATTCACTAGCAAGTTTGCATAAATTACCTAAATGATGCTAAGAAGGTATGTACATAATGATTTATTTTTGTGTCGCCTGCAGAGCAGCACAAAGGGACCACTTTACTCGGCGTCTGTCTGTCTGTCTGTCCGCCTGTCTGTCTGTCCTTCCGTCACACCCAAACTACCCATAGTCCTCTGCGTCTCCGCACATAGGTTTGGTACAAACGAACTCTGGCGGAAGTTTGCGTCACACCCTATATCTCAAGAACTGTAAGAGGTATTGATTTGATATTTTGCACATAATTATATTGCTTAGCACCATGGCTTTTGTAAATTACCATGGTTACCGACCTCATGACCTTTAACCTACTTTTCCAAATAGTTAATAGTGCCGATATACAGCATATTTTTGACATTTAAGAGGTAAGCATATGCTATTTAGCATGTGCACTGTTTGTCACAAGACAATATGATACATGACAATCTAATTAAAATTAGATCTTCCATTCGCTCCCCGATTTTTTATAGGCGACATAGGGTGAATTCACCATGCATCGGACACCCTTGCACTTCAACAAGTTCTAGTGATATCGCTACCGACCGAATATTATCAAAATGGAACTTAACATGTAGTATGTGGTTAAAATATAAATTTTTGACACAACCGTGCCCTATTTATTGAGAAAATATCATTAAAAACCGATTTTTTCGAAATAAGTCAGAATTTACCAAGGATCGGACAATATTCACCATGCATCGGACATACGATATTTGAACCAGAAAAATATCATACCTTGATCTTGGTGCTTTAAAATTAGTGATATCGAAAGATTTTTATCTTTTATTTAAAAATTAACCTTCTAATTAAATTTGAATGACTATTTCGATCCTCAAATATGAAGAGTTTTTAGTTGCATCAAAACGCCTTAGAAAGGCTTTACAATGCTAGTATAATATGACAACTCGCGCCTTTGTCTCGTGGGTTATAATCATCTAGTTTAAACAAATAAATTGAGTCCACTTCTAGTCATCATATATCGATAATTTGTATTTTCACTGAAAATTTAGAGTTTCTATTTTCTATTTCCGTAAAAAACAGCTGTCATTTGGGTTTTACATGAAAATGGAAGTGATTACCCATGCATCGGAAAGTGTCCGATGCATGGTTAATTTGTGTCCGATGTACGGTGAAATAAACATACTAGTTAAAAACAACTCTAAAATATATAATACAAACATTGAAGTAAAATTTTTGAAAAATTTCTGTAATATTATCAATCATTGGCAAATTTTACCAAGGTCCGACCCATTCCGTTGACGTCTATTTAAAAGAACGACAACTCTAAAAATTGCAAAATCGTAAAATTCTGGTTACTCCCCTTTGATGATGCAAAATATGACGTAATTTCAAGGCCATTCTTGTGGTATTTTTATCACAACATGAAAATAAAAATCGACATCATTAAAAAGTTTAATTCTTCATCTTTAAGACAGAAACAAGTAAAAACATGGGGAGACTCAGGTTCAATGAAAGTTTATTGCTTGAAGTTGTCCGAAGCAAGGTATGTGTCCGATGCATGGTTAACTCACCCTATAAAAAATCGGGGAGCGAATGGAAGATCTAATTTTAATTAGATTGGATAAATGCCAGCATAACAATCAAACTGACCTTGACCTTTGACCTACTTTGCAAAAACTATCTCGGGCAGTGTAATGAAACTTATGACTTTTGCATTTTGAGAGGCAGGGTTAGATAATTAGCATTTATACACGTTTATGAGCTCGTGATAGTGTACTTTGAAACCGTTTGATATTTAGTTACCACACAAACTTGTATTTATATACTATGAAAATTCATCGGGATCGGTATTCCACAATGGATTGTATAGGCTGCAATTACAGTAAAGACAGACTGAAATCTCTTTTGGAGGATTGTTGGAAACACGTGTTAATAATAGACAAATAGTTATTTCTAATAATTTCAATTAAATTATTCATTTGAGGGTTATGGAACCATATTTTCTGTGTCAGATTCTATCGCAGTCTTATACTATCCAAGGATGCCATTTTTTCTTTGGAGGCAAATTCATGAACTATTAGTCTATCATGCTTATACATAGTAAATAAAAAGCTGATCACTCTTAGATTTATTTACACCTTTAATGAAGGTACAAAGCAGGCTACACGTGTGTTCCTTGGAACACTCTAGTTATATATGCAACTATAATTGACTGTACTAATATTTTGCTATCATAATGATTAGTTTATGAGATTGATCGATTTTTGTAATAGAACAAACTTCCTTTGTGAAACATAAGACATTTGCTTTCCAAGTGAAAAAATCTCACATGGATCTGTAGGCATTTTTGTTCCCCTAGGGACTTTCCATTTTTCCTATCTAATGAATTAAACTTTGACCTTATTATGGCCCCATTCTACACTCCAAGGGTCTACAATTTGAACAAATTACTCTAAATGGGGATGCTAGCATATTATAATATATGACTAATGAATTTCAAAAAACAATTTCATACATTATATTATTCGCAGGTAAAATTTTGAAGCCTATGTACATGTAGTCCCACTTTGGCCACAAATGTCATTATGTAAAGAAATCTGCATCTACATTACTTACACTGGAATGCTTGCATATTAATATGACTAATAACAATGGTCCTGCTGTCCTTGAGAAGAAGATAGAGTTATTTCCTAAGATACATGTATGCAAAGTATTTTCATGAAAAATCTTTGGTCCCTTGTTGTGGCCCAACCCTAGCCTTTGGGGTAAGGATTTGAACAGAGTTGAATCTATGCTGACCTGGGATGTTGAATAATTGTTGATAGATTTTGTCCAGACAGTTTTTTAAGGTTTTCCCAAGTCAAAGGTTTCTGAGTTCTGATTTTTTTTTTCCACTTGAGCAGAATGGATCAGAAACCCTTGACTTTGGAAGATGGCCCTGACCTAGCCCGGGGGGGGGGGGGGGGGGGGGGGGGGGGGGGGGCTATTATTTGTAGAAACATGAATCACACTCAGTAAGAAACCTTTCACATAATAAGTGTTAGTTCTGTCTGTGTGATTCTTGAGATTTTCTATAAGACAATAACCACTGCTTACTTTCACTATTTTCCCAATTACATCCTCTTAAAGAAGGGCATGACCCTGATGTTCATTTGCAGAAATTTGAATTCCCTTCATCCAAGGAAGTTTTGTGCAAGTTTTGGAGTAGAAGTCAAAAATAAGAAAAGTGTCAAAAAAGAAAAAAAAAAGACACACAAAGAGGACACAAAAGACAGACAGATGGATGGAGGGCATTTTTCTATCCGGAGACTTTTACTCAGGTGAGCTTTATATGATTAGGAATCTCTCAAGAACATCTTTTGGAATAAGTACCTTAAATACAATTGATTATCTTTATTTACTTATGATCTTTCAGAGCTTATTAAATGTTACAAACATTAAATTTATTTGTGAACTGAAGAATATCTTCTTTTATCCTTTAATTCACATTGTGATGGAAAATTTCTCATTTCAGAACAGACACACAACTTATATAGAAAATTACGAAAGGTGAAGTATCATGATACATACTGTGATACATTCCCAATGTATTATGATATACCAGGATACCCTTTATGGGCTTTAGACAAATTGTTACACTCTTATAAGTTAGTAAGCTTTGTCAAGCTTTTCAAAATAGCTTGATAAAACTAGTATCTGTTTACAGATTTTAGAAATACATTTTTTACAGAAATTTATATAAACAAAAAGTTGCAAGTATGTGACTACTCATATTTGTACTATGGTTTATTAAGGTTCATGGATACCCTGATAAGAAAGATAATTCTCACTGGATAAATGAATATTCTTCTTCTATAATGTTGACAAGTTAATGGACCATTTCTGTAAAATTTTGCCCTGCAAGATTATGTTGAAATTAAGTGCATTTTAATTATGAATTACATTTCTTCTGGGAAAAAAAATCATCAGAAATAATTTTATATGAGTGAGCAAAAGGATGTGAACCTTAAAAAAATTATCCAATTCAAACACTGCATCTTTTGGACACTTTTAATCAAAAGATGTAGGTTCCATACTTCGAGTAACTGTATTATACCACCTTGTGTACATTGAGCCATGGATAAGTAGGAATGCCTTACATAGTGCTAAATTATTGCCAGCCAATTATCTTGTTGGCTAGAACATGTAGAAATGACTTCCTATTTAATTTCATTTATGAAGTAACTGTGTAGTTACAAATCATTCAGCAACTTCATTAAGCCCAAAAATCATGGGAGCATTTTGATGAGGTTATTTTCATGCATTTTTTTAAGAACAGTACTAAGTTGAAGGTTATTCCTGAGTTATTTCACAAAAAGCGGTCATTTATCTGTTTCGGTAACTATCACTGCATCAAACAGTCATAATGCGACTTTTTTACATACTGAATTTAGAAAAAAGAGTAAAGAAAAAAGTATGCAAAACATTACCAAATTACACTACATATAAACACAGCAGAAGACATACACTAAATGTATTATAACATCTAAAAATGTAAAATAAATACCTTAATCATTGACATAAACATTTGACACAAACCGGAAAAAATGATGGGTACGTGTTTCTTTAAAGTAAAACCGGATGCGTAAGAGTAATTCCTTTCCGGAGATCAATATTCGATACATGTAAACGATAAATTGCATTTGTATTTTTTACTTTCTTTGGATGATTATCGGCGCCTTTTGTCCATCTATTGCTGATGAGAGGAAAGGCGAACTGAAACCAACGATCCTAAATAAATTAGCCCAGGTCACTAAAACAATTCGACACGAAAACATCATCTTCGTGAATTTTATTATGAAAAATATTTTTAGCAAATATTTTATAATTTAGATTTTCAATTGACTATGTATTTTTGCTGCATTAATCATTTTTTTTAAATCTAAAACACTGGATGTCGAGAAACAAAAAAAAATGTTCTTAAGGGTGAATTCAAAAATTATGACCGCCAAATTGAATTAAAAAAAAAATCAACTACCCATACGATGTTTTTCACTTATATCATCATATCGTACATGAATTCTAGTGAATATTCCTGAAGTTGCAATATGATAGACAATCGGTTAAAAAAGTTTCAGAATTTTTACTCCTAAATCTTTATTTGAAAAATAAAATACACTACATCTTAAAGACTTTCTAAATTACATAATCAAAAGAAATTACAGTTTTTATGCTTAAGAATGGTATCAGGGATAATTTTTTTCTTAGATCTAAACCTTGATTGAGTTTCTTCTCTTGTAAGTAAGTAATTTAGTAAGTAATTTACATAATTAAATCCTTTGTTTACAAACTGTATAAAATAACAATTAACACCCGGCCCATCGGGCCTATATGCCACTTTAAACACAAAATTGAAATACAATATATAAAGAAAATAAAGAGCACAACGTTAAGAGATAAACAAAAAAGTAAATAAACATAATTGTGATACATGTATATATACATATATATGTAATTTGTATGCTAAGACTGGTAGTGTCTGTTATTAGTAGATAAATATGACACTGAAATACATTCTTATTTTCTGAAGATAACGGACTGTCTCCGCATAAATGAAAAATATAAATACTTTGCAACCTGTCGAGGATAATTTGAAATAAGTATTCTTAGTAAATCCACATCTGACCATGCCATTTGATTAAGACCAGTGTTTTCAAAAAGTTTTGAACGATATTCAGAGTATACAAAGGATAATGCAATAAAAAATGAATTTCGTCTTCTACATTATTTTTAGAACAAAAGGTGCAAATTCGATCTTCAACAGGTTCCCCATGATATCTACTGGTTTCTATTCGTAGTGGTAAAATGCCACATCTAAATTGTGCTAAAATTGAACGTGAATATTTAGGCATATCAAGTACTACATAATTTTCCCTTCCAAAAGTTGTTTTAAAATGAACATAAGTCCGCAATTTAGGAATGCTTAAAATCTCATTGCTCCAGAGGTTTAAATAATAATTGTGTATTTTTGATTGAACCATATTTATATTTACCATAAGGTTTGACTCAAAATAATAATCCAGCTCTAGTTGGTGTAATATTTCTTTCAAATCACTGCACCAGTTATTCCTACACTTATTGTAATCAACTTCAAAAACAATTCTTGTAATTCGATCATTGCCAAAGGATAAAACTCTATTCCAATATCTGATTACATTTATCCAACGTCTATGGGAATCCATCCAGTGTCTCCATGAACCCCCAATGTGGGAGCAAAGCGGTGTACCCCAATAAAATACCGAATCGCTCTATTTTGAATATTATCTATTATTGGTTGGATTTTTTTGAAACCCCAGACACCGGATGCATAATCCAAAACTGGTATTACACAAGAGTTAAATAGTTTTTCATAAGCATTAAACCTGAAATCTTTATTACTATGAATGGAAGATATAATTTTCCCGATAGCACGCCCCCCCCCCCCCCCCTGCTTTAGCAAGATTTTCTGCATTTTTCATGAAATTACCAGTGTGCGTAAACGTTATACCTAAAAACTTATAATTCTCAACTGTTTCTAATTTTAATTATTACGTCCAGTAGTGAATTCGAAATTGGTTGCTCTTGACCTTGTTTTATGAAAATGTACGCACTTAGATTTATTGGTGTTTATAAGAACTCTCCAACGTCTACACCAGCTATGTAGTTTACACCAGCTATGTATTTTATGTATAATTAACAGAAACCTACACGTATATTAACATAAAGGTCTGTGCAATTGAAGATACTTAACTCATTAGAAAATGAAAACAGGTCTATTATCTGATTATATGTTGTAAGTGGGGGAAAAAAATAAGTGGATTTGTCTAGAACCATTATTTCTTTCTTTTATTTAATCATTTGGATTGTTTTTACATGTAAGACAAGTTAACAAATAAATTTTAAAGAGACACCGTGACGCACAAACGGGAAAAATGATAAACATAAAAATTTTGCATGACCCATGCAAATTTTCTTCACTTCCTGAAAGTATTATGTTTCAGAAAATTACAGGTTTCGGAACCTAAAAATCTACTTTTATGGAGAAAAAATAATTTATGTATGGCCCAACACGAAAATATTGCTTTACTTCTTCCTCCTTAATGTACGCGTGCGAAGAAAAGTTTAAGTTACCATGGTCTCAAGTACCAAATGAATGTCGGTAGACCAAGAATTTTTAAACATTTTTAAAAATCTTCAAAAAAGATTATTAGAACATATTTCTCACTTTGCATGCTCCAATTGAATGTTGTTTACAAGTAGACGCTAAAAATAAAATCGATGTGACCTTGACATGTATGTTAGCAACGAAACGGATATAACCTTGTTTTTCCGGCACTTTTAAAAGTGCAATCTTTTCTTGCATTACAATACAGCTATAGTTGTCATATCTTCGCTATACTCATAATTTTCATAAATCTTTCGCTTTATTATACAAATATCTTAAAAGAAACACATGATATTGACTCATCATGTAACTTTAAGTTATGTTACTGTGTTGACCGAAAAAGGCAAATTCTAATAGAGAAAAGTTATAAATCCCGCGGGTTTTAAGGTAATAAGGTGCCCAGAAGTTTGCAAGATTTGTCGTCACAAGTCTCATATACAACAGTTTTGGGGAAGAATTGAATAAAACAGAGCTGAAATCACACTGATTGCCTGACGGTGGAGCTTCTTTACAAGCCTTGATTTTCATTCTCATTAACATTAATACATGTTAAAATTTTTTTTTAAAGTATGATATTTCAATATCCTCCTTGGACACTTTTAAAATATATATTATCTCATTTCAGAAGTCAACAGAAAGTGAAGCAGGGTTCGCATGTGTCGTTCAGGTTATTTTTCCTGATAAAGCATCCTCCTCCTCCCCCCCCCCCTAAATTGCCAAGTTTTACGTAAAGAACATGAATGTCGTGATAAAATTTCCTTTTTTACATCAATCAAATCTTTAGTGGTTTGACATTGCTTACACGTAATTTGTACATTTAAAAAATGAATATTTATCTTGTTAATTGGCTCATTTTTTAAGACTTTAGAGATACCCCAAATGTTTTATTTGATACACCATGCACATATATTTGATACATGTATAACACATTCAGTAGATTATAATAATAAATTAAAACTAAAGGATAATAATTGGAATCAAAAATTCAAATCAATAAATACCGTAATAGTAATGTGCTTATAAAGATATCGGAATCGGTCAAACTTAGGTACCGAAGCATGCATATTTGTGTGTATACCAAGGATAATCCATAAAAACCAAAGGCTCACTGTCACGTTGGGTCTGGTTGGTACTATAAACGTACAAGATTGCAAACACGCCATCAAACAATTATTATTTCAACAAATTAAACAAAATCATTTCATTATCAAATATTTATTATTCTTAAATGAAATAAATCTGGGTTAAAAACTATTTACTGTATAATTCACAGAAAGTGAAACCTACGCATATATTAACATAAAGGTCTGTGCAATTAAAGATACTTACTCATTAGAAATTGAAAACAGGTCTATTATCTGATTATATGTTTCAAGTCGGAGAAAATAAGAGGATTTGTCTAGAACCATTATTTCTTTCTTTTATTAAAAAGCGACACTGTGACCCACAAACGGGAAAAATGACAAACATAAAATTTTTGCATGACCCGTGCAAAGAGGTATAGCGCCCTTTCCCGGTTCTACCAGGTTTAAATGGAAAGTACCTGTTACTATAAATATATAGATTTACTTGGCGCATTGGCTTAGGAAACCAACTTCAAGAAATAATCATTCGGAACTATTTCTTCATATATATCATTTAAAGGATTTACCCATAAACTTATGCATTGATTCGGGTTATAAATTCACGAGAAACACTATATTCGATCGTGAGATATTTCTCTTTGATAACTTCAGATCCAGTCATTCTGCACATATCACTACTATCAAATCAAATATTCTTTATATATTTGATTTGTTTGACGTTTTACAGAATTATGTATCAAGATTATTTTTTGACTGTTTTCAAGATTTTTGTTATCATGAAAGGTCTACATCACTATTCGTTTCGGGAACAACTACTGCTCAGTCTACGAATCCACATTTTCTGTATGTATCTCTTCTTTCCAAAATAGTCTAATCGAAAAACCCGTATTATATTAATTAAGTCAGGTAAAGTTAAATTCATATGTATCTGGTTAGCAGACAGGCTTGAACAATAATATTTGTTTCTGATGTGTATATTATGTGGAAAATATGATGATTAAAAATTAACTACATGTAGCTTAAGTAAAAAAGGGAATATAATACGTACTTATAACTATCATTAATGCCAAAAAAAAAAAAAAAATCTGGAATTTGGAGGGCTTGAACCGGAGACCTCAAACACAAAAACAGTTCAGCGTACACGACTAAGCTACGCAGACTTGTAATAATCATAATTATGTATTTTATGTATATATAGTCTCGAGTTAGAGTCTTTAGGAAAATAGGATAACTAAGGTATATAATCAATTTTTAATCTAAAGACCAAGTTTAACCAAAACGATTTTAATGTAACAGTA